AATTTTAAAGATTTAGAATGTAAAATAAGTGTACTAATTAACATTGAATCTGCGATATCTATATTAAGAAAGTTTACTCTTTGGAAACATAGTAATATTTCACATTTATGCCTTGCAGTCATAAAAATATTCAAAATCATAGAAATAAATACTAGATGCTTGTTTGAAAAATAATCTTTAAAATTCATAGCTGAAAATAAAGACATAAAAAGACTGTACAAAAATCAAACAGGAACATTCCGTTTAATACAATAGAAATTTAATAATTTTATGCTTAAACATTTTTTTATCATTTGAAAATTATAAATGCTTAAAAAAAACTAATGTTTTTAAAAAACCCTTTCGATGGAATTTCCCCGTTTAAAAAGGGGCTTATTTTTTACAAAAATATTTATATGAAATTTTTTAGTTCTACTTACTTATATATTACAGTATCAAAAATTAAAAATTCCTCGCAATAAAAACAAAAAAAACAATTTTTTAATCACAAAGCCTTGGTTTTAAACGTATTTCGTTTACGAACAATGGGGAGAGTATTACGGCAATTTCCCCATAAACCCCGGGGTTTATTCACAATTTATGACACAAATTTATAGGGGGCAAATTTTAAAAAAAAGGGATTTTCCCGCAAAAAAGGTTTTTAAATTTAAAAATGTCCCAAAAGTCTAAAGAAAAGCTTATCTTAGGCATTCTCTTACACACTAAGTTGGGAAAATTTTGTACACAGACTTACCATGTCTTTTTTTAAACGGATTCACATGTAAATCTAAGATATGATCTTTTTGTAAGTACAATAGTGGCAGTAATGTTTAAAGAAGATTGATAAGTCTACAATCGGCGTATTTAGCATAAGTATTTCAAATATAACTGATACAAACAATGGAAATGAGACGTATGTGAATAACAAGTCCTTCGTGATATTGTATGAACATTTATGTGATACAGATCTGATTGAACATCATCACAGGTTTATGTGTTGCTCAGACTTACATAACTATGAGAACATTCTTTTCTAATCATCTTTTAACTGAGTTTTTGGGGGATGACTGAAATTGTCAATAAATGTATTTTGCAAACACGATACTAAAATGTGTAACCGTCTCGGAACACTTAGTTATGAACATATTGAAATTTGTTACACGATTAAAAGTCATTTATACAATTTTTGATCTTAGATAATGCATGATTCTATCATCATTTACATGTTTACTATAATATTTCAGTATTTCAGTATTTTACTGTAAAACAACTATATACTTTTGTCCGATGCGACAAACACTCAAAATAATTGCTTTGTTGTTTCTATCTGAACGCCAACTGTTAAATATATGCGTCTTCAGTACCGATTGTAAGCTAAGTAATAATTCAAGTTTTTTTACAATTCACATTAAATCATTCAAACATAGCAAGTTATGGTGTATATCAGGGGATTTAAACCGCTAAAATGTATAACTCCTAATGTTATAAGTCTTTGAATTTATTTACTGAGTTTGATAAAAAAACTATTTGGTTTTGCATAGAAGTTATATCTATCTTCTTTTTAAAGTATTCAAAAGAAATGTCCTGCTGTCGTTGCATTTAGAGCTTTTCATAACTGAAAGCATGCATTTAACATTTTCAAAGAGTTAAACCCACGTTTGAAAAGATGTTACAAAACCTGATTTCAATTTACAGCCTCCCACGTTAAGTTCAGCAATTCATTACATTATAAATGAAACACTGACGATCGCTATGGCATATCAATAATCATTTACTTCCTTTTGATGGTCGTTACTTTTTTTATCTGAAACTACTAGACAATTATATTGCTATTTCATTACCTTATGAATCATAATTATTTGACAGATTCACTTCTGTGATGATAATCAGCACAAACAGTGGAATATATGAATTATTTACAATGTTAATTGATTCAATTAAGGCATACTGTATCTGATAAAACAGGGAACAAATAACCGGAACGATATTATCCTAAGTTGGCAGCAGCCATCGTTCTTCATAAATCACTCTGATTTGATAAAATATAGTTATTAGTGCAAAACATATATTGACTTTGAATTGTATTATAATTAGAAAATAGAATAATGATGTAAAATATTATACAAGTAAAAAATAGTTTTTCTTCATTTTTGAAGAATAGATTAACTATTTGAACGAGATCAACTCTATAAATTGGACTCACACATCTTTGCATTTCAATGTATTTATAGTCAAATTAAAGATTGAAGTGCTTTTGAATTGGTAACATTTATTCACGTCAAACATGTCTGCTCCACCTTATGTCTCATGGGAATCAACTTGTCCTCAATTATGAGGCCAGGAGTATCTTAATATGCCCGCTAAGATATAATTATATTGTCTCCCATGTTCGTTAAAGGTGAATAAATGAAAATGTTTCAATAAATCTGTTTCAAGTTAAAAAAAATAAAATAAAAATAAATGTTCCCATTCATATCAGTAAAATACATGTCGATAATAACTATTGACAGAATATTTATTCATAAGTGCTATGTAATTAATGCAAGATTTAAAAACATAAAAAAAGAAATACTGTCAAAAATGGTTTTAAATCTTGAGCAGTAGAATGAATGAAATATGACATTGTATTATTAAACTATTTAAATAGCAACGTAGGAGGGTACACCTTTCTTAAATTTGATATATTTGCAATTAGAAACAGGTGGGTACACATTGCAAATTGTAATACCATACAAACATAATGTTTATGATAATAATAATTACATAATGCAACTATTTCTTGTTCAACAGTTTATCATGTCTGAATACACCTGAACTGTTTAATATGTAAAATGTTGCCTTTAAAATTGTTTGTTACATCTGTTTAATCTATCAAGATATGTTTACAGGTGCATTTGATATAGCATTTATATCTTATGAATGCGGAAGATTTGATAATGTTAGCTATGATGCTATATGAATATATAGTATATGATGAAGTTTAGTGAATTTATTCCTTAATTGTATATCTGTTAAATAGTATGCTTTTTCTCGTTTTATACGAATAACACAGACTAGTGTCCCAGTATTAACATTCAATTTACCACTGAGTAGGAAATGATCAACATTGAATTAGCAAATAATCAATGGATGTTGAATTTAAAATGTATTATGCTCGTGGATTTGAAAACATCGCACATTCAAATGTAAAATAAAACTTTTTACAATCAGTTCTTTATATACAAGAACGTATGATCGTTTTGTGGTGTGCAAGATGTGTTACGTTGCTCAAGATAAATCTTGTAGCCAACCTCGGTCATAGAATATATATTCTTAAGCACTTACTATATTTAGTAGATAAAGCATTTTGATAATCTTATTGTTTCAGACCACCTTCATCTCACTCATAAATAAATCATATTCGTGTTACAACATATAATATACCTAATTTAATAAAGACAACACTTATGTTATTGTTATGATTATAACAGTCGTTTATTTTTATTACGTTCTTTGTTCTTTGGTTTTGGAGTAATATAAATTTATGACCATACACCGGAATGGAAACTCAATTATCATCTTTAAAATACAGATGTCCAAACATTATATAGTAGTAAGTGTAACAAAGAGAGATAAATGTTTCATTAAATATTCATAACGCGATAACAGCTATTATTATGGTAATTATGAGTTATTAATGATAAGTGATTGTAAAGTTAACATAGTAACTTGATTTTGGTAATAAATTAAACACGAGATATTTTGTCATTGTTACAAAACTATACATTAAGCATCTTTAACAAATCTGAATATTTTACTGTGATTGTCCATCTTTCAATCTTGGCAAAACTATATCATTTAAGGTGAAATTTAAATATATGAGCCGAGTGAATGGTGAACAGTGAGGACCACTATGTGCCGGCTGATTTTGATTTTTCGTAGAATCAATTGCCTCTAGAATACTTAAGGTTCAGCATAATTGTATATTCAAATTTAGAATCTTACGCTGACTTTAAACTGTCAATAAAGAGTTAATGCATAAACAAAATATGCATATTTAACAACATTTCAGTGGATAGGATTTAGAATAAAATGATACACACATTTATATGCCACTGCTGTGCTTGCCGTTAGTAAGTGTTGGTTTGAGTGACAATTTGACACATTATATTTGAATGTTAAAATAAATCGCACAATGCATACAATTCAAAAATGTCAAATGTGCATTTACTTTATTTTCAGAAAAAAAAATTGCTATAAAAGTGTCCGATATGACAAACTAAATTAGTGATACGTTAATATTGGATCACTCAGTATATTATTTGTTTACAACACGATACTTATAGATACTCTAAACACATCTACAGTGTCAGTATTTAAAGAAATCAACAGAATAAAATTACATTGTGACTTTAAATATGCCAAACACAAAAAATGATAGAAGAAATGATACAAAACATGATACAAACATGATATAAAACATGATAGAAATGATACAATATCATTATGAAGACGACATCTTATTATAAGATTTAAGATTAAGTTGTTGTTATATTATATCGTTTGCAATACGTTTGTAATATAATGTTAAGATTTTTAGTCATGCTTGTAATGATTGTAGATTTACTGAATCTTTTTATTGTCAAAAATAAACATTCTTTACTGTCGTAGCATAGGTCAAAATACACAAAAAAGTCATTACTGCGTTAACAACGCAGTAGACATACTCTGATAAATACTGCAACATCGGCCACTAATGGCATATAACATGAACTTTTAAATTATTCTTGTATTGTAAGTAATTTTACTTTTCCTAATTTCTTACTTCATTTTTTTTTTCAAGATTGAATTTACTGAAATATTGTGGCTCATCTAGGCGCATGCAGCTTTAAGTCAATGCATACATATACTTCATATGTTAATAAACAATATAATAATATTCCAAGTTTCTTCTCCTAAATAAAAAAAGTCAATGTCATTACAAATAGTTCCAAGTATAAGTAATGACGTAAACCTGTAATATATATATAAGTTAAACTTACCAGTATCTCGGTTTAAAATCCGTTCAATTCACCTGAAAAATAAGAAACAAAAAAATATATATACACGAATTCGTTATTCAGATCATATATTAAAGTACATTTTTGTTAATCAATGTAGAAGTCCATCCTTATTTTCATCCTCCCACGTTAAGTTATTTTAAACATTTTCACGCTTTATTACCCACAGCTACTTGTTTATATAAAGGAACTTACATCATTACTTATAGACATACAGCAAACAAATATAAGGAAGTGGTATGAAGCGAATTTTTGTGAATTTTATACCATTTTTACCTACTTTAAATAATATTTCCTAGTTAATGAAATGACTGCACAGCTCTTGTATAATTATTTTATCCCACCGCGAAGAAAACACCAAAGCCGAAAACGGCGAACATATCATTTGACGTGCCACTTTTGTTATTAAACATCAAAACCTGCAATATCTAAATAGATTTAAAACAAAGAAACGTCATGTAGTAAGGTCAAATCACCTCCAATATTTGGTAAACATATCTTTATACATATTACCGTGGTGGATATAAAACTATGTATCTTAAAACAAATCAGTAAGTTTCTCAAGTGAGAAAGTGGCTACAAATAGTAACAATTATTTACGCCATCAGTAAAATTAACTATAATTAATGACAGCGTATTTTACGAGCTATCAACCAAAATGTCTGTTGGCAATACAATGACAAATGTGCGTCTCGGGAATTGTTTTATATCCCATTAAATGTTTTCTCTGCAATCCTAATCTGATCTGATCGGTCGATCCGATGACAAAAATGTACAGATATGCCATGAAACCCTTAACATACAGACGGATAAACAAGAATTACGCAATACAGTGTAGAATGTATCGAAGACCAAACTACAGCAAATGTTCATTCAAAACTCTCAAAACACTTTAGTAAACATTTGGCTTTTATTTTTTAAGCAGCATAAACACGTTTGTTTTCATAAAACTTTTTTACACCATCTCAACAAACTGACCAAAACGGTTACTTTCTTTTCATGACTATCGTATACCACATGCACAATTAAGATACATTTAATGCAATAGGAAAAATTGATAGAAACAAATACATTATTTTTGTATGTGGTCAAATATCATATTTCCGAGACGGCAACTTGAAGGTGTTATGAAACGGAATTTAAGCATACATAATGACGTATTTATGCTAAGGAGAATAATAGCTTTCAGTTGTTATCAATACAAATGTTCGAAGTTTTATATTGCATATAGTTGCTGTCAAATTGAATATATAAATACTCAGGGATTAAGCTGTTCAATTGGATCACACATTTTGGGAAAATTCCCTTTTCTAACATTATTTATCTTGTGTTTTATAACGTCATAGAAATTAGGACTATATAATTAATGACGTTTACAAAAAGCCGTATCCTGCGTTATTATATTGTGGAAACTAATTATAGTATATTATTGAATATAAACGTTAAAAATTGCAAAATCGATGAATGGAAGTGACATGGGCTTGAGTGACTTGTGTTTACTCAATTACACAAAACCTTCAACATTTGCAACTGAGCTGTTTGGATGTTCTTAATTGATACAATTTTTTATTAATTTTTTTTTAAATTATCAAAATGATGCTCCAGAAAGTAAAATCTTATCATATTCATTCTTGTATTTAAGATAACAAAATACAGCAGCAATATAAGAAATACAAAACAAGCAAGAAACGCTTGTTCAAATTTATAATGTATTCTTCCCATAAACAACACACAGTTGAATGCAATAGTTAGCAATGACGATTTGCGGTTTCCTGCTATTTTTAGATAATATAATTGTACAATTTAAGTCATTTTAGGTATATTAACTAAGTGAACTACGTTTTAATCATAACTTATTTCGGTCATCTAAAATAGTTGATAAATCGTAAGTATTAAGACGGTAGGCTAAATGGTAAAATTGTACAACATGGATACACTATTTTATTTTACTTAAACCACTAAACAGTTAACACTGTCAGTCAAGATGAACTGTAGCATTTTAAGAAAAGTATAATTCGTCCAGCTGTACAAATACTGTGTCTACAGGACAAACTGTATGCTCATTGCTCATTAATAACGCATGTTAAGTTCAATTCATGATATATCTGTAGCAACAAGAAGTGGTGTGTATCTGGGGATGTCGTTTCTCCAAATGATTACAAATGTCACCGGCAGTTTTCCTTTCATTTACTTTTACATAATTAACAGCTGGTGTTTGCAGAAAAGAGGACAATATCTACATTCTTTTACAAAAAGATTGCGATAATATCCGTTACATTTGTCACATTTATCTGCCTCACAACTGAAAGTAACTCTATTAACAATTCGGAAGAGGAAGCGATTATGTTCATTAATAAACTTAGTAAAAATCCTCCTGAGTACAAGTTTACAGCGGTTTACAGATTTTTATGCAATTTCTTCTGTGGTGTATTAATAAACGTTCACTACCTCTAATGGTAATTTTTTATCTCTAACTATTGCTTTATTTAAGTGAATTTGTCTATGATGAAGATTTGTATTACAGTAAAATAATAATGATAAATAATAAATAATTGATATGGTAGTATTTAGCATGAAGCGTAATGATAAATAATAAATAATTGATATGGAAGTATTTAGCATGAAGCATAATGATAAATAATTGATATGGTAGTATTTAGCATGAAGCAAAATGATAAATAATAAATAATTGATATAATAGTATTTAGCATGAAGCATAATGATAAGTAATAAATAATTGATATGGTAATATTTAGCATGAAGCAGAACATCAAATGTCGAGAATGATATATGTAAGTTCTAGGCAAGTGTGAGATATATGATAATAGCAAATAATAAAAAGAAAAGTATAATTCGTCCAGCTGTACAAATACTGTGTCTACAGGACAAACTGTATGCTCATTAATAACGCATGTTAAGTTCAATTTATGATATATCTGTAGGAACAAGAAGTGGTGTGTATCTGGGGATGTCGTTTTTCCAATTGATTACAAATGTCTACCATTAGAGGTAGTGAACGTTTATTAATACACCTCAGAAGAAATTGCATAAAAAACCTGTAAAAACGTATATAGCAAATAATAATTTCTGCTAGAACAAAAATTATTATTTTTATTCATATATAATGTTCCGGTGGTTAAATCGCTTAGAAGTTTATTAACAACACACCTTTAAGCAATATCTTAAAAGTATAACAAAATGATTTATTCCTATAATTATCAATATTTGAAATTCTTATTGAAAAGACGCCCATTGAAGACAAATTTACTTTAACGAATTCTATTTAAAACTATTTTACGATCGATATAGGTTCTTGCGATAATATGCATAATAAGCATCATTTATTTTCAGTACTTTTTAATGGACTCAAAAACACTTTTCTAGAGTTTAAATCCATTTAAGGCAATATTTTGGCCTCATTAAAATACTTTCTTTTATGTAGATGGTATTATTAAAATGAAAGCACTCTAATGTGCATTGATTTAAAACTTATGTTTTAAGGGAAAAATATAAAAAAATTAAAACCATCAAACAAATTGTTTGAATGACACTATTTATTATCTAGAGTACGATCTTAAATATACGAGTACATAAACCAGTTTATAGGTTCTTTTCAACTAGTTTTGTCTGTTGTTAGCATCACACCTGTTGCAGACTTTGAATGAGTGAGCCTTGTTCACGGGCGGTAGTTAAATACTGATCATGAACTATATTAAGAAATACTGCCCCCAACCCCACCCCCACTCCCTTCCCATAAACGAAAATGAAACAAGATTTTTTTTCATCAAATATATAACAGGGTGATGACATTACAGGAGTACAAATGGATAAGGATAAACTTCCTTTTATTCCTTTTATTATTTTTCTTACATATAGCTGATTTGAGCGCAAACAAGAAGTAACTTAATATGAACTAGAAAAGGACTTACTTTTTTATTGACTGTAGGTTATCTAAAAAATTAATAAACGAAAAAAGGTATGTAACAAAAGCTACAAGTTATTTTAATATATTAATAAATTAAGTTTTCCTGTCAAAAATGTGTTGCAGTAAAAATGTTAAATCCCCTAGAGTGTTTCCATGGCTTTAATATGAATGTTATAATATGCAAATGGTAAGTAACAAATGAATACTTTATTATCCCGACGCAGATTATAATTTCCAGGTTGGGAACAATAGGTTAATAGTTAAGTTGGTTGTACGGAGATAAACTACTGGCCTACTGACCTTACCAATGTGTAGTATTTCGACACGATAAAATACTTTCATATCTGATGACCGTCACTTTAAATGTAATCATTTCACACACATTAGGTATGTACCAAAATAAACAGACGTTTATTTGTTGTTAAGCATAGTAAGTATATTATTGCATGATTGTTGTAAGCCATGCAAGTTCATTAACGCTCAATATTCACATTCTATTTGGTGTGATATATAATATAAATATAGAGCATTACTGTGATATGATTATGATTACATTTGAACTATTATAATAAGAATGAAGCATACATTGCAAACTAATTTTTGTACTATTTTATTTTTTTCTATTTTTTTTCTTTAGATTTTAACAAAGTAGGCTACAGTAAAGTTTAAATAACAATATGATTGAAATTTGTAGCTGCGTCCCTAGAAAGCATGTAAAAAATTTCGTAAAAGATAAATAGTTACAACCATGTCCAAAATGAGTTTACTTCCGACTTCTTTTTATTTAAAACCGCTGTTAAAATAAGATGACACAGTTTATGATATAAGGTCAACATATATAAAAATTTAAGTTTTCATTGAATTAATATCGTGCAGGTTATTTACATTTGCCCTTTATACGATTCATTGCATTGCAGTTTAAATGTTATTTTAGATTTTTATTACGTTCCATCTGAATAAGTTTTATTGCAAATTAAACGATAAGCAATGCTTTTTAAAACATCTAAAAATAGAATTTAAACAAAAAATATGCATGCAGAAAATGCTATTACATCAGAAAATGGAACCGCATTTTGTTATCTTTTTGTG